CGCGCTGAGGGTCGACCTCACTCTCTCCCCCATCGTCTAGCGACCGCCTAGCTGCTCGGACACCTGAGGTGGGGCTGATGATGACCAATAAGCCAGAAATGGCTATTCCAGTCCTCTGTCCTTGTCGGCAGTCTTTCAGCTTTTAACACTAACCGCTGTGCGGCTGCTGGTGGAACTCGAGAGTGAGCTCCAAGACATAACAAAACGAATGAGTCCGTTAACCGGTCAGTGAACGCCCATCTACCATTTAGAAGGATGTCGATGGATTCGACCGGACAAAGGTCTTATGTCCATTCGCAGCTTTGGAAAGAATACCTTTTAGGTCGCTGTGTGTTTAAGAAGCCTTTCGCTTTCTCGGTACTGGCTGACTAAAACGGCACCCAACTTTATACACACCGATGACGTGACAGAAGCCAAACAGATAGACTAATAAGAGAGTTATATTATTGACTGTTTAATCAAAGATTCAAAATAAGGCAAGATGCACGTAGCATTTAAACATATCCTACCTTCTTCCTATGTACGCTAGCAAAGCGAAATATTTTTTAAAAAAAAACTAAGGACGGGCACATTTGCGGACGGCAGGGAAGCGCCAAGGCTTCCCCAGTCACTGAAAAATGACCATAGGATAGGCGAAATCGATAAAACTATAGGCTTCAATGGGAATCAGGAGGTATGGACAACATAAAACAGTAAGAGTTAACCGACAATATGAATAATTTGAAAATATCTAGTTAGGGGGGATAGAAAAGGACATAAACTGTTCGCAGTAACGGTAATGGTCACGTTGTTGTCCAGTTGTTTTGATATAATGGGAATTAGTTAACATTGAATTCTGATCTTTGTGCATGTGTTGCGCGTTCCTGAAAAAGAAAACAAGTTATATTATATTGATTTCAAAATACAAGATGCTTGTCGTCTGTGATTGCGGGACAGTCCTTAACCTCTACTTGAAGAACTTAAGTGCTTGAAAATTTATATCAGTGCAGGACCGTTCCCTAAGATAGAAATCACACCAATCCTATGAGTAGAAAAGAATCCTTTCAATTTGTTACAATTCCACACACATAACACACGTAGCCCATTGGCGTCAGTGGTGAGCACGTAGTCCACGCTGATAGGGACGATATTCTGGTCATCACGGAGACACTAAGAGCCCGGACCAAACCGGATGCAGGCTATGTATTGGCCGAAATTCGTCTGACCACTACGAATCAAGCCAGCGTATAGGCAGAACCGGTCTTGCCAGGATGACTTGGAGATCAAAAACTGGGCCACAAAAGGCGTACAGTCAAATTCCACGCGAAAGTTGTTTGAATTGGTTATTTTGGTATCATGGTGACACCGCTTGAGGTAGAAGTAAAGGACGTTCGGTAGGTGTAAGAGACTGAATTTTTTGACATCCGAACGACCGACTTCGCATTGAGAGAAAAAGAGCAGACCATTGATCGCCTCCGGTTGAAAGTAGGAGGATGAACAGGCAGCTAGGGAGGTGGAGTCACGTTGGGCCACATCCAAGGAGACATCAAGGAAGGGACCCATGGTGCAGGAACGATGATCGCAGCCCTGGTATGATATGACAGACTCAAAATCCCCAAAAAACAGCTGATGATAGTCGTTCACTCCGTACAAATGACAGTAATTATCACTTCACGTGCCTGATCCATGACTCATGCTCACAACCCATTCTAATTTCCTCCCCTCCCCCC